ATATCTATTGTGATGAAATTGACCTGGTGCGGACACAGTGCTGGCCACACTTTATGCTGCCAAAAAGTACACTGTCCCTCCCCTTGCCGGAGCCTGTGCTAGTTTCCTGGAGACTGGCCTGAGCGCCGAGAGCGCCTGTGTGCTCCTTTCCCAGAGCCGCCTGTTTGAGGGGCCAGACTGGACCCAGCGTCGCTGGGAGGTAATTGATGCTCAGGCTGAACTAGCTCTCAAGTCTGAGGGATTCTGTGATATCGACTTCCAGACACTAGAAAGTATCCTCCGTAGGGAAACTCTGAATGCCAAAGAAATTGTGTTTTTTGAGGCTGCTCTCAACTGGGCTGAAGTAGAATGCCAGCGACAAGATCTAGCACTGAGCATTGAAAATAAACGCAAGGTCCTAGGAAAGGCACTGTACTTGATCCGCATACCCACAATGGCCCTTGATGATTTTGCAAATGGCGCTGCACAGTCCGGAGTATTAACTCTCAATGAGACCAGTGACATCTTCCTCTGGTATACTGCAGCCAAAAAGCCCGAGCTACAGTTTGTGAGTAAAGCCCGAAAGGGCCTTGTCCCTCAGCGCTGTCACCGTTTCCAGTCATGTGCCCATGGGAGCAACCAGTGGCGCTACCGGGGTCGCTGTGACAGCATCCAATTTGCAGTTGATAAAAGAGTGTTTATCGCGGGCTTTGGGCTGTATGGTTCCAGCTGTGGCTCTGCAGAATACAGTGCCAAGATTGAACTCAAGCGGCAGGGCGTTGTCTTGGGGCAGAACTTGAGCAAATACTTCTCAGGTGGCTCCAGCAATACCTTCCCAGTGTGGTTTGAGTACCCGGTGCAGATTGAGCCAGACACCTTCTACACAGCCAGTGTGATGCTGGATGGCAATGAACTCAGCTACTTTGGGCAAGAAGGCATGACAAGTTCAATGTGGCAAAGTGACAGTCCAGTTTCAGTGCTCCTCAGATAGCACCAATGGCACTGGGGTACAAGGAGGGCAGATTCTATGCTTGAAAACTCACTTCCCCAAGCAGTGTGAGCTCTGAGGTGTACATCTGGTCCCTACTTGCTTGATGCTCAGCTTATCTGCAGATATGTGATCAACGCAGGTAATTTGTAATGAATGAAGCAGTAGGCAGTTTCTAATTTCTTTCAACCTTTTAATTATGTACAGGCAAAAATGCAGCATTCCGCTTTTAACTATATGCTTAGAAGAGCCAAGTTCTTATAAAGGCTTTGTGATTTTTTAGAGTTGTGTCTATATAGCTGGGGAGACTTTTTGCTCTCCAAGTGTCCCACCGACCTCCCAGTTTTGTCCCTCCGAAGGTAATTTTGGATCACCCTGAATTCCCTTTTGGACTTTATTTGATAAATAGAAACAAATAGTGTAAAATAATAAGAGTTATTTTTGAACAGAATCCCTCTACCCCCAAAAAAGCAGATAAACCTCAGTGTACAATTTTGAAAGAAGTTTTGCTTTGTAATAAATAATAATGTAGAAGGTAGACATTAGTCATGTTTGGCTCTTATTTTATTCTTTTTAAATTTGTCTTCTGGGATATTTTTTTTTCAATCCTAAACTCATAAGATTGTTACATATTAAATGATTCAAAGAATCAATGTAAAATAGGAAAATAAGGAATTGGGCATTTGTTTAGGCCATGACTTCTGCTATAAACAGATTTATACTCTTTCAGTTTAGAAGATGAAATATTGCAATACAGATACTTCTTTTAGAAGTAGCTAAATTATAAAATTTTATTATCAATTTTAAAAAGTTGCAGTCCTACTAATTTAAATTGAAAAGGAAACTCAAAAATAGTCCTGTACTACAAATAGCTTAATTGATTTCACATTAGAATAGTTTGAAAAACCCAAACTTTTTTTTCTCTACTTAGCCTTTGATCCCTACTGTTTGCTTGTTTTTATAAGTTGTACTATATAGAATTGTATTCCTTTATTCCCTCTTAAAAGGACCAAACAATTCTTTATATGAATAGAGTAACAGTTAGTTTTGTAGCACTACAAGTTAATGTGATATTTTTTTGTTTTGTTTTGTTTTGTCTGAAATATATTTTACCTGATCTACTTTGACCATATATTCTTTTCTTTGTGAATTATAATTCTGTCCTGTTCCTGGACTGCTAGAATCTGGCCTCTGGTCATCATAAAGTGCCAACATATACCTGCAGGGTTTTCAGAAAATGGTCTGGAGCAACACATTTGATTATACCTAATAGTCACTGCATCGGTGTCACATCCAGCTTTCTTACTTGTCCACGGATAATGTAAACAAAGGAGGGAAAAGCTCATTAGAAAGTTCTCCTTCACTGATGGCTTACGTTGGTTTAGTGTCCGTGACCCTGGCAGTGTCCGCTGTGTTCACTTTCAGCTGAAGTACCCATGTGTTTCTGGGCAGCTTTTCTGCTCAGCGTGATCCTGAGATGGCTTCCCCCATCACCCAGAGTGTGGTCCCTGGCCGCCTCCTTCTGCTCTGCAAGCCCGAAACTGGCTTGTCTGGAGCCAGGGGTTAGTCCTGGGGTGTATGTGTGCACCACCGTGCGCATGCAAGTGTGTTTGCCAACTCAGGAATTGTCTCCTCCCTGCCTGGCTAGTGAGAGGTGGGACAGTAATGGTCCTGCTGGCCCCAGCAAGGCCCAACGAGTGACTGCCCCTATTTATTCACTGTATTTCTGGGCCACCTCCTCTGTAGACGTAGGCTTGCTGCCTTCAGCCGGCTTCCCTGAGGGAGAAAAACACTGGATTAGGGGAAATGTTTTAATCGCTTTTGCCATTACCTATGTCTGTTAGCATAGATGATCAAAAGCTGTTACTGTGATTACAGATGAGATGAGTACTATCAGAGCAACTTTCCAAAATTGTCTAATGACTATTCTTATTAAGGAGATTATAGGTAGTAGTTTTGGCAAAGCTGAAATCGATGAAATAAAGGTACATTTTCAAATTAAAAAAAAATACTTAAAAGGCTTCTGTTTTTAAATTATGGTTAAACATTTCAGTAACTCATGGCTACCATGCAAATTGGTGGACCTGATTAGAAGGCACTCCTTTTTAAGCCAGAGGGGACGAAACTTTATTTACCTCTAATTTTATCCTATCATATTGTTGAGGTGGGTGTGAGAGCCTTAGAGGGAAGATTGTTCATTCACCAACATTCTCCTCAGTGCTCCTGTTAGCTAACTTCCTCCACGTGACTAGGGAACTGCTGGTGAAAGCCGCATGAGATCCTGTACACTGGGTATAGAAGAACTTAATTTTATGTTAATTAGTATTACTTAAAAAAAAAAAAGACACACCATCTAATTGGCTGGTGCCTACAACTGAGGGCAAAATTTGAAAATTGTATTTAGAATAAGAAATTTTACATTTAAAATCCTATTCTCCCTTCTGCATTTTTAGCAAAGTGGAATGAAGTTAATGTGCTTGCTTTATTTTCTTTTGTCATTTTGAATTTTGTAGCTTTTAAAACTAGAAAGCATTGTTCTAACAAGGCAGGCAGTTGTAATGTATAAACACAACTTTATTAAACAGAATATGCTGTATTGATGCTTTTTTCCAATGTACCTGGCAGTCTTTGTCATTGTTCCTACGGGGATAAAGGGGAACTAGGCTAGCAGCTAATGTAACATTCTTTAAGCATATCTTAAAATAGTATTTAAGTAAATGGTCTAATTTCTACATAATTGCACTGAACTGTCATTTTTGTTTTTTAAGGTGTTTAAATAAGCTCAGCTAATTCAAGACACTGTGGCCGCTTGTGCGTCAGTGTGCTTGGATTTAGTAGCTTACAACATTATTTCTGAAGGAAAAATATATAAATATGAAGTACTTCTGTTGAATGTTATTGTACTGTATTTTTAATGTAACAGTGCAGATCTTGTTAGACACCTGAATGTGTATAATCATGTTAAATGCAAATAAAATAAAACTAGTTCAAAAAAAAAAAGAAAGAAATAAAAAGAAAAATAACTTTTAGCGTGTGGTGGGCAAATGGGGGGGGAGGAGGAGAAGAATTTACACTTACAAAATAAAAGCTATGCGCACCGCCTGGGGGTAGGACATGCTTGATGTTTTGGTAAGGCGGAGGGGCGGGGGGAGGAATGGCAGGGGCAATATATGTAACTCTAACAATATCTGTACCCCCATAATATGATAAAATAAAATTAAGTTAAAAAAAAAAACTAAAAGTAGAATTATCATATGATGCTGCTATTGCACTTCAGGGAATTTACCAAAAATATTTGAAATTGGTATACCAAACGATGCCTGCGGTCCCCTATTTATTGCAGCACATTGTGAAGGACAATGATCAAGTTATTGAATCATCCGGCATGTCCTCCAATAGATGAATGGATAAAGAAAAGTCTATATAAACAATGAAATATTAGTTAGTGGAAAAACAAAGAGGGGGAAGAAAGAAGTAAAAGGAATGCTGTTGTTTGTGACAATATGGGTGGAACTGAAGAACACTGTGCAAAATTAAATCATCCAGATCCAGAAAGACAAAGGCTGCATGATGCAAACATACTTTTTATATGTGGAATTTCAAACAGTACGAGACAGTAAAGCAAGGAGTAGAATGGCGGTTACCCGATGCCAGGGGTGAAAGGTACAGCGTCATGATGAGCAGAGGGTACAAAGCCTCAATTAGACATGATAATTTTTTGAGGTCTATGGCACCGAGCTGTGAATATAGCTAAAATAATTTATTTTGCATCCCCAAGCCGTTAAGAGACTAATGAAAACTGTTCTGAATGCAAGAAATAGGTTCATCAGGTCGTGGACATGTTGACTAGACGATCTGGTGATTCCACCTCCATTCAGCAGTCACACCCTCAGTGTGTCCCAGAACCACTCGCAGGACAACGTGTGGATTCACAATAAGAAACAGGAAGAGGACACAGATTCGCGGCTTCCTGGGGTGGGGGAGGTGCACAGACCGGAAGTGACCCAGGAGGACCATTTCCGGGGGTGATGACGTTCCTCCCAGTCGGGCTGGGGACACCGTGAGGAGGCGCTGTCACCTGCCGCCACCACAGCACGGGCGCACACCCCACGCCCAGAGCCTTCCCTCCAGTGTAGACGCAGCGTGTCCTCCCGGGGAGAGTGGTGGCCCAGCGTCTCCAGCTCTGTAGCCCACACGCCTACCATGGCCCTACCCAGCCGGCCAGAAGATCGCCACAAGACACACGACACAGGACTCTGGGGAGGAGAGACTTCCGGTCCCTCAGCGCGGGCTACGGTGAGTCCTGCTCATGGGAGTGTCCCTGTGGGGGCACCTCAGTGTTCGGGATGGGCGGGGCGGGGGGCCTGTCTGCCTGGGCGGGGGCGCAGGGGCGCCAGCTGCAGAGACCCGGACTCCCCTCCTTCCCCGCAGCCGGGCATGTGGCAGGAGCTGGTCCAAGGCCAGTAAGGCTCAGGGTCAGGGCCGACTTTGGGAGAAAGTGCGATGAAGCTTCTCACACCTGCGTAGACACGTCTCCAGGCACCCTCTGTGTGCGAGCAGGCCTCTAAACTGCTGCCCAGTGCTCTCCATTCCCCTCTCCATCACTCGCATTTAAATCTTGGACATTTGAAAGGATTGGTGGATAAATAGATAGTCACTTTGAATTCAGACAAAGCTGGGTACAGTCCAAATTTTGTTGTTTTTCAGAGGAGCTTCACTGGACCAACTAACTTGGGTAAGGGTCTCCTTGAATCAGCTTCAAATCCAAGTATATTCAAGGGTTGCTATGGAGTTGGGTTAATTCATGCCAATCATGCAGTTTGTGTTGGGGCAATGTAGATGTTTCTGCTTAGGCTGTTGAAATTACAGAAGCCTCCTTCTTGCCCTTTCCTTGGACACAGCAGAGTGTCTGGAAAACAGCCTGGACCTCAGGACTCTCTCCTTGAGACAGGACTTTGATGAACACAGATACTCTCAGTGTCACAAACACAGCTGGGAAAGATTGATGGGACTGTCTAACCATCATTGGTAGGACCCTCCTGCTGTCACCTGCTCATGGACTCACTTTGCAAATGCAAGTGGCCATTAGTAGCTGAGAGAATCAGAGAGATTGTTCAAAGTGGGATGTGTCCACTGAGTCTCTCACAGAGTCGCCTTCAACACCTGAGACCTGCAGATGGAACCCTCAGTGTGCTGCGTGCTCTGTGGTGGCATCCATGTCCTTGTGACAGGTGTCTTTGTGGCTCCACAGGACAACACAGCACCCTGCAGTCGAGTCCCTCATGTATGAAGTGCCTGCCCCAGATGGTCTCCTGTGCAAGAGCTTCCTCATCCTCCCCCTTCTGCTCCTCCTGACTGCCCTCTCCTATGTTCTCCTCCTTGCTATGGAGAGTAAAATTATTCCTTGTTTTTACTCTGATGCCCATCGTTATCAAGAAGGAACCATTGTCGTGTGTTGAAGAAGGATTTGTCTCTAAACCACATGGGATTCACAAAAGATTTCTTCTATAACTCAGTCTTCATCATCGGAGATACTTGTGTAAAATTATGCACAACATCCATCTTATAAAGACATTTCCATTCTTGAGTTATTTCCATGTCTACCTTTAGACACAGATGTATCCTCATTGTAAGTAGGAAACTGATAACTGTGTGAGAGGCTTTGGACCTTGTACAGTCCCTGCCTTGACATGACTACAGAGTCAGACAGGAAGGTGGTGACACCACCCTGCATATCAAGGAGTGTGGAGGAAGCAACAGGACCAGAGGACAGATGTGACTACTGTCCTTCAGAGTTACTTTGTTGATTTTAGTTGTTTATAGTATTTTTAATTCAAAATTCCTAAAGAATTAAAACACACTTGATTAGGCCAGACGCAATGGCTCACGCCTGTAATCCTAGCAATCTGGGAGGCTGAGGCGGGCAGATTGCTCGAGGTCAGGAGTTCGAAACCAGCCTGAGCAAGAGCGAGACCCCATCTCTACTATAAATAGAAAGAAATTAATTGGCTAACTAATATATATAGAAAAAATTAGCCAGGCATGGTGGCACGTGACTGTAGTCCCAGCTACTTAAGAGGCTGAGGCAGTAGGATTACTCGAGCCTAGGAGTTTGAGGTTGCTGTGAGCTAGGCTGATGCCACAGCACTCACTCTAGCTGGGGCAACAAAGTGAGACTCTCTCTCAAAAAAAAAAAAAAAAAAAAAAACACTTAATTTAGGTAAAGCCCAAGAAAGCTGCAAAGCTCAAGTGTTGGTGAGCACATATCATTGCACAGGATGCTGTGGTTGGCCATAAAGTGGCCACAGGAGAAAGGTCACTCAGAGTATGGGTGAGGAGCCTGGACATTATGGAAAAGAAGGCAGGTGTCCTCCTGGGGAGAACAAGACACTGACTCTGTAGGGTGAGTCTGCAAGGGCTTGGGCAGGTGCACCAGGTTCTGTCTAAGAGAAGTGGCATCTGATGAAGGGACCTGATGTTGTGTGATTCTGGAATAAAGTGAGGGGCATGGAAATCAGCCTGGGAGGCTCCCATGAGGGCTTGAGAGAGGCTGTTCCTTAAATGAGTGGTCATCACAGTTGGAGTAGACAGCTGCACTGTGGAGGATCCACCACCTCTGGACCTGTTAGATGGAATCTTTGTGTTGTAGAAGCAGCATAGCTGACACATAGCACAAAGGAATGACGTGAATGCGAGTGGCTGCACATGTCTCTCATGGGAAAGTGTGATCAGTGCAGGGCAACACAAGTCAGCACAGAATTCTGTCTTCACAGTATCACAGCTTTGAATATTCATGTCTAGAGTTAGCAGCATGCTTATTTTCTTAGTTTATTTGCTCAAGACAATAGCATATGTTTCGCATAATTCATGATTATTTTATAATTACTGATTGTTTATAGGTTCCTTTTGTCAATAAGTTTGCTTTGGCGAATTAATTGTGGCTTGGGAGCCTGTTTTAAATGTTGCCCATCAGGAGGCACAGCCACCACATCCACAAAAGAAAAAATATTACAAGTTGCTGATTGAAGGAGTCAGCGACTTCAGAAGATTCATTGTGGTGAGGGTGTCTGTAGCACAGCATGACATGTGCTTAGTAACCTACCCTGAGATGCCCTTCACTGTTTTCCAGTTTAAACATACAAATGGGGGGTGCTAAAAGCAAATTGCAAGTAATGGGATATCACTTCTAGATTCTATACTACTATGCCTAATGTAGTATAATCATTGGAAGTCTGTTATTGACATACATCGACACTGTAATAATAATACTATTGATAAAGGAGTGATGCATGGAGTTAATTTTTTGTCACATCTAAGTGTAAGTCATAATGAATTAACTTAATTTTAACTTACTACTCTGGGGGTGAGAGCATCCAAGTCCACAGTATTTTGGAATGATGTGTGCTATGACCATGCTGATTTAGGCAAGGGAATACTTACATTATTTAAGGTGAGATGTACCTGTTTGTCTTTATTGTATATGGCAAAACCGTAGCAGTATAGGAGTACTTTTTAAAAATTTTTTCTTGGTTTCCTAGATATAATTGTAATATGTGCTTCAGTATTAAGGATATGCAGTATTTTCAACAGTGAATTTCTGCAATGTGTAAGATACTTACAGCCTTCATTGAAGAGGACCAAAAGCCTGGCAACACCCTTTTTATATTTTATCATATATTATTTTAGTATATTTTAGATTTCCAATTAGGTCAATCACAAGTGTTCTCTGTTCTATTGCACGGTATAACTATTGTTAACAATTATGTATTGTATACTTGAAAATAGCTGAAACAGGATTTTTAAATATTCTCACTACAAAGAAATAACAAATATTTGAAGGTGATTGACATACTACTTATGTTGATTTGATCATTCTACAATGTATACATGTGTTGACATCCCATTGCATCCCTTCAATATATATAATTATTTGTCAATAAAAAATAAATAAAATTTTACCCAAGTGCCCAATAATACATGAGCAAATTAATAAAATGTGGTATCCATATACGATTGAGTTATACCCAGCCTCAAAATTCAATGGTGATCTAGCACCCTTTATATTATCCTATTATCTGGTTGGAATATCTGGAGCCCATTCTACTAAGTGAAGTATCATGAGAATAGAAAGACAAGCACCACATGTGCTCACCATCAAATTGGTCCTAAGCTATTAAAACACTGAGGTGTTCACATGGTAGTAATATTCAATGGGTACCAGACAGGTGGGGGCAGTGGGGTGGGTAAACTCACACTAATGGATGAGGAGCGAACTGTGTGGGGGAAGGGCATTCTTGTAGACCTGGCTTGGGTGAGGCCAAGGCATATATGTAACCAAAATGTGTGTACCCCCATAATATTGTGAAGTGCAAAAAAGTAATGATAAAAATGATAAAAACTTTGGATGAGGAATATACTAGTTTTCTTAATTTGATCAATATGCAAGGTAAACATATATCAAAACACATTTTATGAGATTAAATATAGGTATTACTTGTCAACTAAAATAAAATGAAGTTTTTTTAATGTAACAGTACAAATAAATTCAGGTTTACTTCCATTTATGCAAATTGTATAATTTTCTTTTTTTTATTTAATTTTTTACATATCTCTTTTTTATTTTAGAATATTACCAGAATATAAAGGTTTAGTTTCCATATATTGCCTTTGCCTCGCCCAAGTCAGAGCTACAAGCATGGTCCCACCCCTAGAACCCACCAGGAACAGAGCAACAACAAAAATAAGTACAGGGACCAGATCAAATTAAAAAGTTCTGCACAGCACAAGACACTATCGAAGAGCAAACAGACAAATACAGAAGAGAGGAATACTTTCACATGCCGACACATTTTACATTCTTTAAGTCCATTTTTTCACATCTTCTATGCAGGATCATATGCAAAACTGTCTCCTTGCTGCTTGAAATGGTGCAGCCTCTCAAGCAGCTCCAAGCTGCATCCTCATGGCTTGCTGGGCGGCTTCCAGATGTCAGCTGCACAGATGAGGAATGGCTGTGAATGATTTTCAGTCTTTTCTTAAGATCAGAAATGTCAGAGCTAGATAGTGGGAGGACCCAGTATCAGCTGTTTACGCTAAATCCACTTTTGCCAAGACCTGCAAACTGCTTTTTTGTCTCTTGTTGTCCAAGGCGGGCATGTTTGTCTTCAAGACCCTCATGCCTTCACCTACGGGGGAAGATGAGAGCATCCACCCAAAGACTATCCCCTGCTACACACACATCTCAGTGTCTCCAGGCTATGGAAGGGTGGTGTTTGTGTGTTGGAGCAAATGCCATGGGGTGATATCATGTCTCTGCTTCCCAAGAATCCCGAGATAGTGGGTGATGTGCTATGAAGATGATGTTGGCCAAGTGAGAAAAAGTTCATGTAGATGTGCAGAAGTGAAATCCAATATGAAATAAAATTTGGAATTTGTTTTGAAATGCTGGATGATTGCAGCTTCTTATCGTTTGGGAATGAGGTGGCAATAGACAGAAGTAGGGTTAATTGTGGCTTTGTCGTCTGATAGCCTGGTGCATGGTCATTGCACGGAGTGCAGTGGGCATTCCAACACATACTGGCCTATTGCAATGGCTCAGGTCATACACTAATGTGTTTAATTTTCATTGAGTTAATTATGCATTTAAGTTGCATCTCGGTATGTATTGTCAAAACCTAGGATTTCCAAATAATACTCTGGTGGAATTACTGGAATCCAAGTATATTCCTCACTTACTCACTGTGCAAACACAGCCACACCCTAATACTATAATCATTGCCCTTGCAAAGACGGAGACTCTTTCCTGCCCTGCTAATCTTTTGCATGAGAAGCTTAAATGTGTTGGGCAGCACCACGTGTTCCTCAGATGGGCCACTGGGAGTGCTGCCAGATAAAGTGAGGGGCTGGTGCTATTCCTATTCATGCTCCTTTTTGTTCCCATGAAATGTCTACAGACTGGGATAAAATCTGCCACCTGCTACATTGTGACTCCTCCACACAGTAAAGGGAACTATGCATGTACATGTGGGAAGCCCCATTGCACTTAATGTAATGGTCAGTAACGTGGCATACAAAATTGCTGACACAGGTAAACCTCTCAGTCAGGCCAGCACCTTCTGAAGAATACCATGCTGAGTGTCTATACTGGGAGGTGGAGCCCTTGGCCCCAGGAAATGTCAGGTTGACACCACTAATTGAATTGGATGCATAGTAATCACAGAGCGAGTGGTCCTGAGTGAGGCCTTGGGTTGTGGAAGACACACGCATGTTCTAGATCCAGTCAGGTTGAGTTGCAGAACCTTCCAGAGTCAAAGGACTTAATGAATTTGCCATCAAGTGATTCCTGGACTCAGTTATGGAGACCTGTTGAGGTCACTGGTGGTCTGTTTTGCTTGCAGACTTCAGATTAGGCAGGGAGGACCTCAGTCTGCCTTAGCGGGTGAAAGTACATGAAGTTGGGTGATGCGTGTCATCCAGCCATGCCGCTCTGACCACTTAATTCATGGACCATTTGGGCAGCACTGGCGTCCCTGGTTGCAGAGGATGACTATCGTACTCTGGCTAATTCCATGCATGTGACTGTCAATGTAATTCCACAGGGAGTGTGCTATAAAGATGCTGAATTGCAGTGCAAAGGTCTTCACACCAAGGCCCAAACAAAACATGCATAAATAACCCACATGCTAGTGACAGGTGCTGCCTGTAGTGAGAAAGAATCAAGACAGTGAATTTTATTATGTGGTCATAAGCTTGCAAATGTCACATGACCCCTTAGATTAAACTAGGAGTGTTCAACAGGTGGCCACGGTATGAGCACATATGTATTTATGGACACTCTCAGTGGTGCACACAGCAGGGCCCACCTCCCACGCAGGCTTCCCTCCAGTCTCGCACCAGGCCCTCACACAGGGGAGTGGGGAACAGTCCTGTGTAGGATCCTCTATCATACTGGCTATGGAAGATAAACTATGGTGTGGTTTAAGTCTGTTATCTGCCATGAATTAATTTTTGTGAGTGGCAAGCAGGGGAATTATAGAAGAAAATGTTGGAAAAGCTCTTCTACATCTTTTCTCTTACTGCCACTATGTTAGGCTGTGATTGGTTAGAAGTCCTGGTTCCCAGGGAGGATCACTCCTGACGTGGCCTGATTACAGGATGGGGATGATACAGAACATAAAATATTGAGACAGACACACATGGACATGACAATGACTCGAGTGACCAATGCACCGGTCACTTTATTTTTATACCCGCCAGACCCAAGTTTAGTTCCTTGTACATGAGCATCTGAGCATAGCAGCGATATCAGTCAATTCTGGAGTTGTTTCAAAAGGGAACAATTTCCCATGGTCTCAGACCTCAAAATGGTTACTAAATTTAAGGTTCCAGACAGAGCTCAAAAGCCAAGGCTGACATAGGCAACATAAAACCATGCAGCCATCTGAAGTGCTTTTGGTCTCAATCCCAGGCAGCAGCTCCTCCCTGGCCCCCACTGTTGTGTCTGTCTTAGGTCGCCCCCCTCCATGGGGAGTCTTACCCATCATTGACTACCAACCATCAATCGGGGGCCAGTTCTTGGGAGAGTTCTTCTTGTTCTTGTTCTTATGGCCTCCAGACTCGCACCACAGGGGCCCTCTGTGTGAGAGTTGGGAGCATTTGCTTATGTGCAACAACTCAGGCTTCTTATCCAGTCAAAAGGCAGCAACCGTGTCTGAGGAAAATGCTGACTACTGTGCTGTGTCAGGCAGCACACGGACATTACAGGCTATAGTGAATGATTAGTATAACGCATAACACCAGAATCAGCCCCCAACAACTCCTACGGGGGGCACAATGTGCTCCCCTAAATCTGAAGGTTGGTTTGCTGCCCCTCAGTTGGGGTGCTCATGAGTGTGGAGCAGTCCACAATGAGAGGCACTCTCCCACTGACAGACAGTAACTCTGCTTTGGGGATAAGCATGTGCGTATCCATGGAGGCAGGGGCATTCCCTCAGGCCTAGACAGTTTCTGTGGTTTCTCCCCTGCATTCACCACTGGGGAGGTCAATTGCATCAATCACATGCCTGAGGATGGCCAAGGGACCAAGGACAATGGCTCTGCAGTGCTCAGACCTGAGTCACTCCATCAGGGAACACAGCAACCCTCACTGCAAAGTGCTGGCTGTCTGTTAGAAGAGAATCCAGATTGGAGGTGGGAGGGGACACTAGTGAATGTCAAGTACGACCACAGGGCCACCTGCAGCAGTGGGCTCTGGAGACTGATAACTCAGACACACATTGTGACTTCCACAAAGATCAGGGCTGCCTACTGTCCTAAGCATGTGGCAGCCCCATAGACTGAACCTGGGCCTGTGTGGACCTGCATGAGGGAAATGTAAGGACAAACTTCAGTGCATTCCTTCTTGGCCCCACTCTTGTGTCCTGGGCCCGAGAGAGAGGAAGCAGCAGTAATATCTGACAACTTGTGTGAACCCGAGTCCCCTCAGCTGAGTGAGGCTCATGTCACAGTTAAGGCACAAGGGTGTCAAGGTCAGTGTGGATTTTGTGGCCCCAAATTGATTCAACCTTGACTTTGTAACAGTAGAATGCAGCAAAACACCATCATGTTCTCATTACAGAAAGGGGATATTGCAAACCTTATTAGGCTTGTTCACATTGATCCTGGAGTTGGTTCAGGAGCGGAGAAGGATCTAGTGTTGGAGTGCACAGTCCCAGATACTGCAGGTACTTCCCACCAGATACGTGCTTGCTCGTGCACACATAGCACAGCTTCTTTCTGTTTCTGTTTGTACAGTTTCATCTGTAAAATATCATGACCTATAAACTCCCCCAGGGCTCTCACCTCTTCTCTGGGATCTGCCCACTCCTCAGGTGTCCCACCCCAGAGCTTGCAACATAGCAGGGGACATGCAAATAGGGCCCTCCCTCTGCTGATAAAAACCAGCCCAGCCCTCACCCTGCAGCTCTGGGAGAGGAGCCCCAGCCCCAGCAATCCCATTAAGTGATCAGGACTGAACACAGAGACTCACCATGGAGTCTGGGCTGAGCTGGGTTTTCCTTATTGCTCTATTGAAAGGTAATTCATGGAGAACTAGAGATATTTGGTGTGTGAGTGGATGTGAGTGAGAGAAACAGGGTGCGTGTGGCAGTTTCTGACAAGAATGTGGCTGTGTTTGCAGGTGTCCAGTGTGAGGTGCAGCTGGTGGAGTCTGGGGGAGGCTTGGTCCAGCCTGGGGGGTCCCTGAAACTCTCCTGTGCAGCCTCTGGACTCACCTTCAGTGACTACTGGATGAGCTGGATCCGCCAGGCTCCAGGGAAGGGGCTGGAGTGGGCTGGCCTTAATAGAAGCAAGGCTTATGGTGGAATAGCAGAATATGCTGCATCTGTGAAAGGCAGATTCACCATCTCATGAGATGATTCCAAAAGCACCGCATATCTGCAAATGAACAGTCTGAAAGCCAAGGACACAGCCTTGTACTACTGTGTGAGAGACACAGAGGGAGGACTTCAGTGTGAGCTCAGACACAAACCTCCTGCGGGGCCCGTGTAGGCCACCAGAGGCGCCCAGGACCCACTGGACCCAGAGCAGCCCAGCAGGTGCAGGTGGAGATTAACAGGTGGTTTCCTATTGGGGTATGGAGCTTGCTCTCCATCTAATTTTCCCCAAGGGACCTCTCTAGAGTTAGAATTCTGTACTGACATTTGCCATCTGTAAGTACAAATCTTTGTTTCTTTGTCTTATAAGAGAAGGACACACTTTCACCGGCGCAAATGTCACACTGTTACTTTAGGAGCCAAAGTGCTCCTGCAGTTGTAACCAGGAACAGAGTCCTCAGGAAGCTTAGGGGAAGCTGATGAGTGTTCAGTCACACACCAGGCAGAGACGTCAGTGGGATTTCCTCATTGGAACAGGCCTTGGGATTCAGATTGGAAACAACAGGCAGGCTAGGGAAGGGTCAGTGGACTCTAACAGGTTTCAAATCTGTCCCTGCCTCTCATTTATAACTGTGCACATCTGAGTCAGGAGTGACACAGTTGTTCCATTTTGTGCTAAGCCATTTTCTTTATCTCCAGACTTTACTATCACAACTCCCTTTTCTGCACATTTTCCCTAAAAATAGAGGTTGTATATTCTGTGGTCTAAGTCCCAGGGCACATACCCACTCCCTGCAGCTCAGGTGTGTCCCAGGATGTGTCCTGCAGTACCTCAGAAAAGTTGAGGAGACCTTCTCACTCACATTTTCAGTAACCCTGCCGTCTTTTGTGATAGACTCATTTGGGAAATGCAAGTGAACATTAATTAGTCACCAAGGATATAATAGCAGTTTGCTCAAAATAGCATATTCATGTAGAACTGCCCTTCAGCTCTCTGTAACTGAGTCCAAGCTCATACCACTTGCCACACAGGGGCCAATACTTTGAAAGAAAGGAGTTGGGGCAAGGAAAGTGACTTCATTTTGAAAGTCATTGAACAGGGAATATGGAAGACTAGTATCCTAAAGAAACATCTTAAGGTTGTGTGGAACTCATGATATTGTCTATGCTAAGGGAAGGGGAGTAGAAGGGATTGGGGTCAAGGGATGACTGACAACCACAAACTCCAAGGTGCCAGCAAGAGTCTGAGGAGGTTGTGAAAGTTTTTTTTTTTCTTTTTAATTTCAGCATATGAGTATATTACGGTGGTACAAATATTCAGGTGACACATATTGCCCTTGCCCCACCCGAGTCAGAGCTTCAAGCGCGTCCATCCTCCAGATGGTATGCCTTCTCCCATCAGGTGTGTGTTTACCCATCTCCCCTTACCCCCCCTCCCACCTGCCCAATACCCAATGAATGTGTGCACTTAAGTGTTGATCAATTAATGTCAATTTAATGGTGAGTACATGCAGTGCTTGTTTTTCCATTCTTGGGATACCTCACTTAGTAAAATAGGCTCCATCTCCATGCAGGACAATACAAGAGGTGCTAGATCACCATTGTTTTTGTGGCTGAGTAGAACTCATGGTATATATATACCACATTTTCTTAATCCATTCATGTATTGATGTGCACTTGGGCTGTTTTCACACCTTTGAAATTGTGAATTGCACTACTATAACATTCTAGTATAGGTGTCTTTTTTTATAGAATATCCTTTGTTCTTTTGGGTAGATGTCCAGTAAAGTGATTGATGGATAAATGGTAGTTCTACTTGTATCTTCTTGAGGTATCTCCATATTGTTTTCCATAGAGGTTGCACTAGTTTGCAGTCCCACCAGCAGAGTATAAGTGTTCCTGTCTCTCTGCATCCATGCCAACATTTATTGTTTTGGGATTGTTTGATAAAGCCTATTCTCACTGGAGTTAAGTGATATCTCACTGTGGTTTTGATTTGCATTTCCCTGATAATTAGAGATGTTGAGAATTTTTATATGTTTGGTAGCCATTAGTCTATCTTCTTTTGAAAGTTTCTGTTCATGTCCTTTGCCCACTTTTTAATGGAGTTATCTGACTTTTTTCTTGCTGATTTTCCTGAGTTCTATATAGATTCTTGTTACCAGCACTTTATCGGATATGTAGCATGTGAATATTTTTTCCTATTGTGTAAGTTGTCTATTTGCTCTATTGATAGTTTCTCTGGCTGTGTAGAAGCTTTTTAATTTTATCAGGGTCCATTTATTTATATTTTCTCTAATTGCCCTTGGGGTCTTTTTCATAATTCTTTGCCTAGGCCAATGTCTATAGGAGGTTTTCCCACATTTTCTTCTAGAATACTTACAGTTTCATGCTTTAGGTTTAAGTCTGTTATACATCATGAGTTGATTTTTGTTAGAAGTGAAAAGTGTGGATCCTCTGTCAGTTTTCTGCATGTGGTTATCCAATTTTCCCAACACCTTTTATTGAATCAGGATTCTCTTCCCTAGTATATTTTTTGTCTGCTTTGTCAAAGGTCAGATGGGTAAATGAGGAGAGTTTTATGTCTGGGTTTCTGGTCCTGTTTTATTTGCATATATGTCTATTCTTGTGGCAATATCGTAATGTTTTGGTACTATATATGTGTATTATAACTTGAAGTATGGTCAGTTTATTCTTCCTTTTTTTTTTTTTTTTTTGCTTTTTGTTTCTTTGGCCATACAGGATCTTGTCTGGTTCCATATAGAGCATAGAATTATTTTTTCTGCATCTGTAACCAAAGATGTTGGTATTTTTATAGGGATTGCATTAGATTTTTCAATCACTTTGGGTAGTATAGACATTTAACAATGTTGATTCCACCGACCCATGAGCATGGTGTGGTTTTCCTTCTGGGGATTGGGGCCCCATTCTAAGTCTTCTCAAACAGAGAAGAATTCAAAATTCTCCCCAGCATAGAAATCTGTATCCTTCAAAACTCAGTTTTCCGTATAGGGGGAAATGAAGTCTTTCTCAGACTATCAAACACTGAAGGTATTCATCAAGATAAGACATCCCTTGCAGGAGGAACTCAGAACTGTATTATTCATGGATCAGCACAATAAACACTCACCAGGTAAAATTACCCAAAATCTATAGGGTGGAGACCAGGTACCACAATGGCTCAGGAGATGAAACAGAGCAGCCAAACTCAACTCAATCAGTAGAAATTTTTATCAAAATTATCTTAACTATGGAAGGTTAGAAGCAAAGTTGGTTAGTCAGAATGTGCCTGCCTCTGCTGTCACACCCACACGATCATGTGTCACCTCCCTCACCTGTGGCATGGGTCGTGCTGGAGATACTCACCCCAGAGTGATAGGCGCTCTGGGGATAGTAAGTATGTGGTCTCTCTAGGCAGGTCTGGGGTTCTCAGTGCAAGCATCACAAGGGCAGGCTGGAAATGTCAGAAGGGCTGCAGCTCCTGCCCACAGTGGAATTCATTGTCTTCTGTTTGCTAAGATGGAATCAGGCTCCACCAGCTTAGCCAGAACAGTTTCCCTGGTGTGGAGAAAACTGACGACAGGCTTTTATAACATCTGTGACATGCAATCAGGGTAACACCTAGGGTAGTGTTTGATTACAAACTTAGACTATGGTTTGGCCAAGGTGACAAGTAAAACTGATCATCATGATTATTTTACATATTAATTTGCCTAAAAAGAATTAGGCATCTATTTTCAACAAGTTTGCTAAAATAATTGTTAGTGTTGGTGTTCTGAGAAACAAATTCTAAGATGGGATTGAGTTTGCATAAATTCATCTAAATAATATGCCCACCTTTTTGAGAAGAAAACAGAAGGGGTTGAATTAGGCTGGAGAAGCTGTCAGACCATGATGGTAGTCTGTCCTCAGGGGAAAGAGAAAAGGATGGAAGACTTAGTGGAATTTTTCTAAATTTCTGTGCTTTCCAAAGAGGCTCCCCCCAGATCACTGAAGCTTCTGGAAGTGAAAACTGCCCCTCAGGACCCCAGGAATCTCAGCAATGGTCAGCTTCAGAATTCCAAGGACCTCAGTGTCTGCCTGTGAGGGAACTGCAGGATGTGCAGCCTGAGCACAAGCCTCACCCTGAATGTCAGACAGCAGCAGCTGAGCACCTGCTCCAGGTGCTCTGTGATTCCTGTAGGTGGAGGGCTGGGAATTGCATTCTAATGCCTAAAACACTGTTTATCCATTTTTATATAGAGTATATGTTTGTACATTATATTCATGAATGATGTAGGAAGCAAACATGTGGTGTGCAATCAATGTTAATATCCATTTACCCTAATTACATCATTCCTTAATTCTGAACAATGTCCTGTCATAGGATTGCACATATCATCAGTAATTGTCAAATGTATTTTAGGTCCATGTTCTATAGTTTCATTGGTTTCTCCTTGAGTGATGAGGTCAGAGAAGAGTCCATCTGGACCTTTACAACACTGTCTCTTTATTCCCAAGATGAAAATAAGGGGTTTACCTGATGCAGAATCTGGTGTATGAGCTGTTCCCACACCTGTCAGAGCCTGCAGCTATCCCCCACGCAGTATATACAGTCAGGATGTTTTCCCGTGTCAGGAGACCCCCAGCTACCCCATTGCCAGTGTTGGCATCACCAATCTATTTGTGAGGTTCACTGTTTAGGCACTTGCTAGTCTATCACATCTTGATTCCAATTTAAAACTCACCATCTTCATAAATATCAGCAGTAATTCAATTATCAATTAATTATCCCAACATCATTTTTCCATCCTACTCAGTAGTAATTTTAATTAGAGAAAAGTGTTACCATTTAGTCTTCTAATCTATCTTCAGAAATTTTTGTGCTAATCATAAAAAATGGAAACAATGTGCCCACTTTGGGAATTTGCAAATTAATTTACTACGAACATTCAAGCACAGTTTGTGTGTGTGTGTGTATGTGTGTGTGTGTGTGTGTCTGTGCATAGTCTGTCAGGTACATACCTAA